CGAAAGCACAATTAAAGTTCATAAACTCTTGAAGACGTGTGAGCCGTCTGCTCACGTCTGCCTTCCACTCTCGACCAGGTCTCAGCGCTGTCTGGGATGATTCTTACTGCGCTGGGTGATGCTATACTGATGACGTCATAATCCTGGTATTCTAATTCAGCATTGGACGTTGATGACTCCCACATATATATAATGTTTTATGATCTTAAATTCACTTGGTGCGAAATCAAGTTATTCTACTACTTGCGCAATAGCTGCAAAGTAAGTTAATAATAATTTATTTACTAAAGAAATTGATTATATTATCTCCTAAGAATTAGTAGAATTAGCTAAAAAGAGTGAATCCATAGTTAGTAAGTTAAATTCCGAAAATTGTTTTAAAGTTAACTTGAATGTAAATTGTTAAAAATGTTTAACGGGGACTTGAATTAAATCATGAATAACAAAATTTCAATTGTAAAAAGAAATTAAATTAAAAGCAAGTATTCATTGCAATTGATCGGAAATTAGTTGACTTTTCAAGGGGAACAAACTCCCGTTCAATGAACAGTAATTAAGAAATAAATACAAAGGTGTTTCGTCCTTTACTCGAGTAATAAGGCGATGCCAAACTGGCAATTTAAGTTAGGCCAAATATTTCCGTGAATTGAAGGGATCAAGAACCATTGCAGAGCACCAAAGAACTCATTCTGATTCACCATTTTCGCTAATTCAATTTTGAGTGAAAAGCTATTTATGCAGTAAAATTGATAAACTACTTGAGTAATTGTCCCTCGACACCCTCGTGTTTATGCATTTTAATTCAAAACTATTTGTAAAAAATTAAACATTGGAAATTGGCATTATGAAATAGAAAAAGTAATTGAAATAAACATTAAAAAATTACGAAATATAATACAAGCTTTGCAAAAAGAAATAAAACAATAAAAATTGAAATTTAAAATATATATACTGAAAAAGTTACATGTAGAATTTAATGAAACTTGACCCACAATTATACAACTCATATTAAGGTATCAAAATAACATAAAAAGAAATTACCAGATAATATGGTAGTATAGAAATTACCAGATAAATATGGTAGTATAGAAATTAGCACATGTATAGAATGAACAAAGCGAAAAGTGTTAGTTTGGCTATAGAAAAAGTTACCTATCAAAATATGGAGCATGATCGCCTCTAGAAACACTACAACAGCACATACAGAAGATGTGTGATGCTTGTCAATTATGCAGTCTATCAGTTCCGTAGGACGTGACAGCCATTGCTCTTGCAAAGCAGTAGCAACTGTGGCAACATGGGTCGTGAAGAGGGCGGACTGTAGAGCAGCTGTATACGTCTTCCCTTAAACCATCTCAAACGTGCTCGATAGGATTCGGTCCGGGGATCGAGCTGGCCGCTCCATGTGCCTGAATTGTTTGCTGCTTGAAGATAATCAATCTACGATGTTGAGTCCCTGTGTGACGTCAAGCGGCTGTCGTCCTGTAGCAGGAAATAATCACACTATTGCCCCGGCATATGGGCGCACATGAACATCAAGGATGTCATCTATATAGGCGTGAGCACATCATGATTGTACCTTGGAAAGACATGGAAAATTTGTGCGTCCACCCGAAGAGATGCCGACCCCAAACAAAGACACTGCCTCCTCCGTATGCATCTCTTTTAAGGATGTTTGACGGATGATAAGGATTCCAGGTTCTCTTCCAAATCAAATAACGCCTACTATCGCTTTCTAGACTAAACCTGGACTCATCCATAAAGAGAACCGCCTTCCATTGATCAGGCGTCCAGTGGACATGGTTTCGTGCCCACTGAAAACGGTCCTTCCTACGGCGTGACGTGAGCGGCACACAAATGGCTGGTCGCCTCGCATACTGACCACCTTCGTGAAGCCTTCTACGCACAGTTGACGTTGACACGAACCTTCCGGTGGCTGCAGCAAGGGAGGATCTAAGAAGAGTCGGAGTAGCGGTTCTATTCTTGCGTGCACATAATGTCAAATATCGGTTATCGGCGCTTGTTGTAGCAGTTGGCCGTCCTTGGCTGAACCTCCTAGATGCCGAATCTGTGGTTTGAAATTGCCTCCAAAGTCTATGAGCCACAGAAGGATTCACATTTAGCCATCTGGCCACTTCTGTTTGACTTTGTCCTGGCGCTAGTCTCACAATGGCTCTCCATCGTAGTTCTGCAGGCAAAAGATGCCTAGAGGTCATTGTTACGAATTGGCTATCTCAGATTTCTGATGTTACAGTGAAATATGTGGGCTTGCTCTCAAACATGGACTTTTGAGCTCCTCGCTGATGACGTATTACGAAAGCAGCGCCACTAATTTTCATATCGCAGTTTTACTCAGCTACTCTTACTTGAAAACATATTCAAATTTTACACGGTTTGGCTTATTTTTGAGGGAGTTATCGCTATTTTTGTGATTTTTCCTTAATTTATGATAACCAGTGTAGTTAATGATTTGAAGATCGAGATAGTCTATGCTATTTTGTGAATTATTAGTTTTATTAAGTGTAAGGCAATTCGGGATAAATCTCGGAGTATTCAATCTTATTACAATTATTAATCAAAATTATTAATTGTAATAAGGTCATCTATATATCTGTAGTGTGCTTTGTAGTAATTTAATTCTTGATGTTGTAGAATTTTTGGAAGTTAAATTCTTTGATAAATAAAAAGGATATTACAGAGCGAGGTGCTGGAATGTACCCCATTGGCAAACCTCTGACTTGTTTAAAAAGTTGATTTTGAAATTTAATGTAGTTATGAAAAAGTGTGCATTTTAGGTAGGTTTTCCATTTATTAAGATTTATAATCGTGAGCATACTAGGGAAGAGTTTAGGCAGATCTAGTAGACTAGTATACATTTTTTTCTAAAGGAAGTGAGGTTTATAAGTTTTCAAAGTCATAGCAATTGTTCTGTATGTTAATTGTTTGAATGGAATTAATGACAGGAGTGTTATTATGGATGGTCCAGCAATAGTTACAATCGTTGAAAATAAATTTACAGATTTTTTTAAGTTCAATTGAAAAATAAGTCTACATTTTTCTTGTAATTATTAGTTCCATTTGCTATAAATCTGAATTTTAATGGTGTTTTATGGAATTTGGAAAGTACATAGAGGTTAGTAAATCTGTTGTAGCTTGGATTTAAAGTAATATTTAGATTTTTATGAAAAGTTTTAAACTGGTGACTTGCAATGTCATTTTGCTGACTCATCTATTTCATTGTGGTTAGTTAGCAAGTTGCTTAAGGTCCTTTGATATTTAAATGCAACTATTGGTATGGTGTCTACAGCTGGGAAGTAAACTTCACAATCGTTGAATATTCTAGAGAATCGAATATTGTCAAACTGCGAATGCAGAAAATTGACTTTAAAATAAATTTTGCGTTGAGCCAGACAATTAGAAAGTCTGAATATACAAAAATCGAGAACCATGTCTTTAATGATTTGTATTTCGTTGTAGCTTTCATGAATGAATTTGTTTTAGTTTGATAAGGAATTTATTAGTACAAGAGCGTAACCAGTTGAGAAGTTTCTTGGAGAAGTTTTCAGAGTCAAAAAAACATTTTAATTGCTTTTTTTTTTCAATTCAATTGTATCCAAAGTGGGTAAAATCTCGTATTTGCTTCCTCTTTTGCCTCTTTGCGTTTTGTTGCTGTAAAGCTTAAATTGGCTAAAAATGGATTTATTAGAAGTATTTCTGTGACTATGTATATAAGTGTTAAGTCCATAGGGATAAAATGAACGTTGTTTTAGTATATAGAGTGATTCCTGAAAAACTCGGCCCACCAGCGGCCGAGCGGTAAAGTCGCTGAACACTGGTAGTTCGGTCCGAGGTTCGAATCAAGCGAACGGGCTGGCTGCGTGGGCCTTTTCGTGTTTTTCCCCATGTGTAACGTGTATACGAACCAATTTCCCTTAGAAGGTCCTCCACGAAGGCATCCCTCCCCTTAGGCAGATAGCCCTAGTGTCCTTTGCCGTAATCTCAATAAACCAAACCAAACCAACCTGAAAAATTCGTGCTTTGTGATTAGGTATTATATCTAAGATCTGAAGTTGAATAGAGTTGAAGTCATGGTGTTTAAAGTGCTCTAATTCTGCTGTATTGATTTGTGAAGGTGTACTTATTTTAGTGCTAGGTTTTTGTGCGTTGAATTTCTTAATGTGAGCTCTATGGTTTTTGATTTGAAAGTTAAGATTGTTTTTAGTCTGTCCTGTATATTTAATATGTCAAGTGCCGGAGGTTCTTTGGCTCAAAGGTAAACTCGCCTGGGCTAAGAAACGCATGGAAAAATCGTCATGAAGGCATATATCTTACATGTCAAGAAGGTATTTATAAAGTCGGTAGTGATTCCATATTGGCGGACAGCGACTGCTCGCATCCGTTACAGAAAGCTTGTTGAGACGGCCTTGGTTTGTAATAGGCTACAGTGCAGCTAAAGAAGAAAAAATTCTATAATAGTGTGGGAATTTATTTATATAGCATTCACTAGCAGCTCTGGGACTTGTGCAAACGTCTCTGATGTAGGAATCATTCATCCATGCTTTGTTTTTAATCTGATTGGTCTTTCTTCTAACACGACGATGCGCAGCCGCAAAACCCTACAGATGCCAAATTAAGATTAGGGGGAAAGTTCTCAGTTTTGCTATGGGCATCTACGCCACCAAATCTCAGTGTTATTATACACATCTGGGATACCATGTAAAGGCAGTATGGAACCCAGAAATCCTACAATCCTGGATACAACAAAATTATAGACAGCTCTACAGGAAGTATGATGCTCATTGCCTTTATGATGCACCCCATGTTCTCAAACAATCCATTTGTTTGCAGTTCTAAGCTTCTATGTGTCAGGCCGATGTATTAAATTTTTGGCATTTCAGCGTCTATACGAGTTTAGTTAATGCATTATTTCTACGCTAAATATCTGCAGCTAACATTAAATATTTACTTTTCTCTAATGTCTTTTATTTTCTTAACTATAGGTGCTTACTGCGGTTGCGTCAGGGGCTAACGAAATTCGTAGGCCGTCTAGTGCTAGCCCAGTTACGGCTGCCTCTAGTAGTAATACGCTCACTCAACCTTCCAGTGCTAGCACAGCTGTTTGTTTATCCTGTGCTAGCAGGACTCCGGTTACTATCACACTTTCTCCTGAAGATAACATTGTGAGATCACGTGTGAAAACCCCAAAGACAGAAGAGAACCCACCGTCATATGAAGATGCAATGTCTACACCTCCTTATAATGTTGCCATAAAAAAATAAATTGTTCCTTGTCTATTAAAAAACTTCTTAGATTTTAAACTGCTTTTTTATGTAAATGTCATTAATTTTAAATCAATAAATAATTCCTTGCAAATTGTAAAAAATTCTCTTTTGATTTTATATTCAAGTTGTAGAACTAAAATTATCTGTTTTTTGTAAGTGATAGCTACAGTGTAAAAAATGTCAAGACACAGTTATGTTTATAATTTTGTTTTATAATATCAGTGAGAGAGCTGTTAATCCTTGCACTTGCAAATAACAATTTACCTCGAGAAAATATATTTTTTTATTTTTCATTCCACAGATAATTATGTAGTATTCTAAATGAGGAATGAAGCAATCTATCCGAGGAACTTCTAAATCACTTCATTAATAAACGTGCCACAATGCAGTGGATTCTGGACATACATATTCCCTGTTCAGAAGACAAATTTCCGGAGCATTGGTAATCATTCTTTACCAACTTTTAAAATTCCTATTCTGTTAAGTAGTAAATAAATCATAGGTTTTCGTTAGAACGAAGAAGATTTACTATAAATACTTGAGGAAACGATACAGAATAAAGAACTAGATAATAAAAAATGTTTGGTTCTATAAAATGCTGCCAACAGTAATTACTGCTACTTAAGATTATCTGCCAGATTTCGTCTAAATTAAACTGCACTAACTGCGTCCCTGTATGTATATATATAGTGGATGGACAAAAATATGGAAACACCTTGTGAAATGCATGTTTGAAAAGAAAGATTGATTTTAATGAAATATGTATGTGGCGCTGGCGTTTTTGATTACTGACGCCACCTATACAACTTCGTAAATGTGGTAAACAGTTCAGTTGTTGTCGGAGTACTGTTATGTGAGGTTGTCATTGCATTATGTCAGAGTTAAGACTTCGAACGTGGGCAAATTGTTGGAGCACGTATGGTAGGTGCTTTCGTAAGCAAGATAGCCGAGGTGTTTAGTGTTTCAAGAGGTACTGTCTCGAAGATTTATTCCGCATATTTGAAAAGCGGAAAAACATAATCTGCTAAATCACAGCGCGGACGAAAGTGTGTCTTGAGTGATCGTGACAGACGATCATTAAGGGAAATTGTGACGAAAAATAAGAAGACCACAACTGCAAAAGTTACTGCTGAAATGAATGTTGTGTTACCGAACCCTGTGAGTACCAAAACAATTAGAAGGGACCTTCATAAACAGGGAATTGCTGGCCGTGTTGCAATTGAGAAGCCACTCATCAGTGATGCTAATGCCCGTAACAGGAAAAGGTGGTGTTTAAGTCATAAAGCCTGGACTATAGAGCAGTGGAAGCGAGTAATATGGTCTGACGAGTCTTCTTTCACATTGTTTCCCACTTCTGGCCGAGTTTACGTCTGGAGAACGCCATCCCAAGCCTATAATACAGACTGCTTGTTGCCAAGAGTGAAACATGGCGGGGGTTCTGTTATGGTTTGGGCAGCCATATCGTGGTTCTCTGCTAGCCCCATGATAACTGTGTGTCAGGGCACATGACTGCCAAGACTTATGTGAACATTTTGGCCGATCAAGTTCATTCCCATGGTACAAACGTTGTTCCCGATGGTGATGGTGTCTTCCCAAGACCACAAAGCCCCTGTTCACACAGCTCACATTGTCCCAGGACTGGTTTTCTGAGCACGAGGATGAGTTTGTCCCATCTCCCCTGGCCACCACAGTCACCAGACCTGAATATTATCGAACCTTTGTGGTCTACATTGGAGCGGAAAGTGCGTTCTCGTTATCCACCGCCAACATCGTTATCTGAACTTGCCACCGTTTTGCAGGAAGAATGGTATAATATTCCTTGGCAAACATATAGGAACTGTATTTATCCATTCCGAGAAGACTGCAAGCTGTTTTGGATGCCAACGGGTTTCCTACACCATATTAAGCAAGGAAACATGCCCCCCAAAGTCCTGCTATGCTGCCTCAACGTGGCGGGGGGTGTCACTGGGCGGAACGGGCAAAGTACGTCGGGAGCATAGCTCCTGTTAGGGCCACCCTAGGCGTGAAGGCCGTTCCAACATGCCCAGCTAAAGCATAGCAGGTGAAGAACCCTCAGGGGATTGCCGTCTTGGTGATCGGGTATCACACTCCCGGGGCCCCAGTGACCTTTCTCCCTCTCTCTTTCCTCTCCTCTTGTCTAGCTCTCTCTCTCTCCTATTTTTCTCCCTTGTGGTTTCCTCTACTGGAGGTTGGGGCTCACTGTGAGATGCAGCTACTACTCTTAGTTTCTGTTTCACCATGGTGAGAATACCGCCTATGCGTTTGCCGTGCATGGTGACCCGTAGGGTGGGAAAGGAGGATCCTGGCAGTTGAGGGGCGAGGTACTGTCCCCAACACACTGCTTTGGCCTCTGCTTCTACTTAAAACGGGAGGCACTTAGCTGTCCCCGCTAGTGTCAATCGGCTGGTCACTAGTCCTATTGGTCAATGGCTAGGGGATAAGCTCTCGGAAGTCTCCGCTTTTGGGAAAGCCGACTGTGGGGCTTCAGTTTGCGTATAGGCCCGGCTAGCCCTAACACAGGGATCTGTGTTCCCTTGTTGGGCTCCATGGTGGGTGGGGCGGTCGGGCCCGAAACCTTCTCTCTTTTCAATATGAAAACTTTAACTTCTTCTCCTAACCATATGGATACGAAAAATTCTGGAGCTGCTAAAAGAATTTGTACTTCGACCTTAATTAGCACAAACAAATGTCCAAAGTTCTTAGTTATCACTGGTGAGCTAGAAAATCTATCACCATTCTTCATCCATAAGCATATTGTGGCCTCAGCAGGCGAGCCAAAACACATAAAAAAGCTCCGTTCAGGATCTCTGCTCATCGAGACTACATCTGATGCACAATCTTCCTCTCTCCTAAAAATGACCAAAATGGGGGAACATTCTATTACTGTATCCCCACATAAGTCTTTGAACACGTCAAGAGGTGTCATTTCGGAAATAGACTTGATATCAGTCTCTGAGGATGAACTTTCAAAAGAACTCGCCGAGCAAAATGTATGTGGCGTCCGCCGAATAAAAGTCCGTAGAGACGGGCAACTCGTCAACACAAAACATCTTATTCTGTCTTTCTCCTCTCCAGAGCTACCGAAAGCCATTAAGGCAGGTTACCTGAATTGCCCCATCAGACCTTACGTGCCGAACCCACTGCGCTGCTTCAAGTGTCAACGGTTTGGCCATGCGAAGGCCGCATGCCGGGGAAACCTGGCATGTGCTCGCTGTTCTGCAGGTGGGTCACGAAAGTCAGGATTGTGTAGCTGATCCAAAATGTGCAAACTGTCATGGCAATCATCCAGCATACTCACGAAACTGCCCTAAGTGGAAAGAAGAGAAAGAAATACAGCATATTAAGACTACAAGAAAAATCTCCTATCCTGAAGCTAAGAAACTTTTTAGCACGGGTCAGTCAAAAGCAAATGTCTCCTATGCACAAGCCACTAAATCATATCGGTCAATAAGTACACAAACATCGCATAGCACACAGAAGAAGATACCTGAACCAAAAACAAATGACAAAGAAAAAGTCTTTCTTCTACCTCCTCCCAAACAGACAATAGAAAGTCGAGAAATAAAAACACAAGAAACAGAGAGTTCAAAAAAGAAAATCAAAAGCTCAGAAAAGAGAAGCTCAAGCCGAAGCTCTATTGAAGGGACCTTTTCAGACTTTATCGAATCTGAGATGGAAACAGATGGAGGCGGAGATCTCTCGAAAAATGTTTCTACCTCACAAAACAAAGAAACAGCATCGAAGCAATAAACATTCCTAATGGCTACTCTCATTTCGTGGAACTGCCGGGGCTTCTATCAGGGTATTGATGGCATTAAGCAACTTATTAATAAATATCGACCTATTTGTATAGCGATACAAGAGACATTCCTCAAACCTGGTAATTTTGCAAAGCTACGTAGGTACTCGATGACAAGAAAGGATAAGACATTCAGTGAACGCGCAAGTGGTGGTGTCTGTCTACTCACCTCAATTAATTGCCCTTCGAGTGCTCTCCCTTTGGATACTCCTCTCCAAGCAGTTGCAGTACAGTTGAGCATTCGAACACTGACTACTGTCTGCAGTATTTACATCCCGCCTAATGAGAACATTAATTTAAGAGATTTATTAGAGGATCTAATTGCCCAACTACCAGCTCCGTTTATTCTAGTCGGTGATTTCAATGGACACAATCCCTTGTGGGGTAGTAAAGACACAAACCCACGAGGAAAGCAAATTGAACAGCTACTCCACGACCACTGTCTCTGTATCCTTAACAACGCAGAAAGCACTTATTTTCATCAGCCAACAAGGACCTTCCATTCCATTGACCTTGCTATTGTTTCTCCACAGCTTTTGCCTTTTTGTTTCTTTAATGTCGAGAATTATCTATATAATAGTGATCATTTTCCTATTATCATAAGTATTACAGGAAATAGGAGTGTGTTTATACCTAGAACACCACGCTTTTTGTTGGACAAAGCCGACTGGGACTCTTTCTTACATTATGCTCTTTTTAGTGAAGAAATAATAAAGAATGTGCACATTGATCAGGCTGTGAAGATCATTACAGATAAAATTATTCAAGCAGCTGATATATGTATACCAAAAACGTCGGTAAAACAGCCAAAATACCCAAAGCCCTGGTGGAATCCTGAATGCCAGGACGCCATCAGAAAACAAAGGAAAGCTTGGAGCATTTTTCGGCGATATCCTTCAGAATCAAATCTCGTAATATTCAAAAGGGCTAAAGCAAAAGCTCGGCAGGTGCGAAGGAAAAGTCAGAAGAATTCTTGGATCTCGTATGTGTCTTCGATTAGCTCTTCAACTTCGAGTAAGAAGGTGTGGGAGAGAGTCCGGAAAGCGTCCGGTATCTACAAAGAGCACACACTTTCCATTTTAAAGACAAGTGGTGAAACAGTTACTAGTAGGGAAGAAATTGCCAACGCTATTGGACAGAGTTTCTCAGCCGTCTCACACAGTAGTAACTACCCTCTTGAATTTCTTTCCGCAAAAAAATGCATTGAAAAACAACTAATTAATTTCAACTCTCCCAATACTGAACCATATAATCAGGATTTTACTGTGCTTGAACTGAAAA